TATTGAAGAGGATCTTCTTGAAAAAGATGATTTCATTACAGAGGATCTTGATAGAGCTTAAAAACCATCACTATATGTACACTAAAACTATGCATATGCAATGTTAGAACATAAGAATAGGAGAGAACAAAACTTTCTTTAAGGCAATTGCAAGCTCTTTTGTTTTTCAACAAGAAGAATCTTTATTAAACGAGAGAAAATGGGGAATAAAGAAGAGAAGATCTATCTCCTAAATCAAACTGGTGAAAAATGAACAAGGAGGGACCAAAAATGACTATACTTGGTTCTGTTGATGATCTCTCTGTTCCAGATCCCTTACATTGTCTACTATGTGTTGGATTCTCTTAGAAAGGCTTTCGTTGTGCTGTTCGATCTGTTCAAAGAGCATTTCAAGATGCTTTTTGTAAGTAGCGGCTCTCTTTTTCTCTGCAGCTAGCTGCTGCATTAGCTCCTGGATTTTGCCGTGCTCGTTCTGCAAATGAGAGCAAACTTTTAGAATTCAACTCTTTTGCAGTACTAAATGAGATAGAAGCAAAAACAGAATCAAACCAGACACTACAGAACATCAACTCGAGTAACTGATTCTTTCCGTTTCTACCATCATTAAGAGCAAACTAAACGAGAGACTGCCCATCATCTGCTGTTTGTAAGACTGGTGCCTTGGTCAATTGCTATATTCAAGTGATGCAATAGCTGAATCTAAACATCTATATGTTTAACTTCAGTTCGCTAAATAATGACCGATAAATCATCTACCTTGATTCCTGAAATTAAAGAAATGTTGATCAACGAAAAAGAGCAACAACTGACCGGATATTGATCGTAAATGCAACCCCTTCGAACCCTTCCAGGCATCAAAGGATGATTATGCTCCTTGACAAACTTTGTGATAACCCATTTACCAGAATTTTCTTTTCTAATCAAGATCATTGCTCTACATCCAACTCTTGTTTCCGCTCGTTGTCTAATAACCTTGTCGCGTTTACTAGGCAACCTATAGCCTTCCTTGTTACAAACAAGTTGCCTACCTATGGGAGATCCATCATGCCTTGACCTTGACAGTTTACTAACACGGATAACAAACCCTACTTTCGTAGCATACGCATTATAAAACCCATGTGCAGCTGCTTCGGATTCAAACTCTTGCCCAACATAAGGCTCATCCGCTACTTGAACCTCCGCCATATCTGCAACTGCCAAAGGAATAGAATCCGGATCAACCTTCTCGTCTTCTTCAAGCATAGCTTGACCTGAATTTTCACCGATTTCGTTATGATTCTCATCATCTTGCTCAATCATTGCTTGACCAGAGCTTTCGCCCATTTCATGATGGTTCTCGACCGTGGTAACCTCGAGCTCGACTGGTATCCCCATCATCATCCCAGAAGCTACACCATTATCAATCCTGAAATCCACTGCAATTACACAAAGAGAGTTTCATCAAGAGGTGAGGCAAAGACACGCATCAAACATCAACCTAGAAGAGCTACAAGTTCTTGTCTTGTCTTGTCTTCTCTACTTTGTTCCATTTAACCAATTCAAGATATCATAAACAAAGCTCAAATACAAAACAAATCTTAAAATGGAAAATTTCTTTGTGTAGTAAGCCTAATCGAGTCTTGATGATGAAAACTAACCAAGATTCACCTTAATAAAAATGGAGAGTCATGTAAATCGGAATTCCAAAAGTATCGAAAGTTTCAACTTCTCAGTCTCATTCTCGAATCCAAAATCCCAAATCGGAAACATCCAATTTCAGTTATAGGAACGAAATAAACATTGAAGGAATAGACAATCTTACTGTTTAAAAGTGTTTTTCTGCGGGGGGTGATTCGCCGCCGGGAGATGTAGGTCGGCGACGGCGACGATCGAAATTAGGTTTTCGACAGAGAAGGTGCCGGTTCAGGGTATGGATTACAAGGGACGCAGTAATCGATGACGTGTCGAGAGATGATTGGGTCAATATCGGAAAGAAGTCAACTCACCGTTCATCTTAGCTTTGGATTTATCGACTCTATGCTTCCTCCGGTGCGCTTCTCCTCGTCTGATAATTCCTCGTTCTACG